TACTCTCATTCATAAGACAGTGACCATTGCCCAGGTGACCCTGGCCTGTAGCTTATGTAATTATCCTGCCCTTATTCCTTACCCACTTCTTACTGACTCATTTTAAAGACATCCATTTTTTAAGTGTTTGGTACACAGCCTTAAATATGCATGTGCCCTTATAAAACATGTTGTTTTATGTATGTTTTCAATTTACTTACATGGTATTCTGCTGTAAATAATTTCCTGCATCTACATTATTATTTTTTTTTTTTGAGAGAGAGAGAGAGGTTTTTGCTATAGGGCGCGTCCGCTCGCTAGACAGACAGAGAGAGACAGAGAGACAGAAAGCGAGAAATCACCCCCCCAAGGGAGATGGCCACGCCGCAATCCCTTCTCCTCCATTCTCCTCTCGGGATCTTGGGCATGCACGCACACGCACCTGGCATGAGTTTTAAGCCACCAGGTCCAGGACGCGAACCGCAGTCGACTACATGGGAGTCCAGTGACATAGCCATTACACTAACTGCTGGTCCCTATATTATTATTATTTATTTTTAGAAAGCCTCTATATTAGGGCCAGCAGATGGCCTGGAGGTTAAGGCAGTTGGCCAACTCTGTGGTTCAAGTCCTGGACACAGTGGCTTGAAATACATGCCACACACGTGTGTGTGTGTGTGTGTGTGTGCATATCCAAAACCCAGAGAGTAGAATGGAGAAGAAGGAATAGCCGCATGGCCATCACCCCTGGCAGGTACTTTCTCACTTTCCCTCTCCCTCTGTGTGTGTGTGCATGTGTGTGTGTCTATCTCTGGTGAGTACACATGCCCTATAGCAAAAATTTTTTAAAAAGTAAAAGTATCCATGTTGTAATATGTATATCTAATTCTGTGCTTCAAATCACTATATAGTCCATATGTAATGTACATTGTGGTACTGTCTATAATAACTGACTTGTACACCAGGAGATAGTCAGGAATGCTCACAGAAATAATATGTGAAATAACATGCCTTCATTAATGATAGCTATGGAGATGATGGGAACCATGTTATGACAACATGAAGTGAGAAAAGCAGACCAAATTGTCTTTATGTGAAAAGTACCACATAAAAACACACATTCCTACAACCAAGGGCTGGAAAAGATCAGAGAAAAATCAGAACAGCTACGTATTGCAGAACAAGGGAGCTGAAGGCAGCTGTTAGTACTGATTAGTGTGCCAGGAGATTTGGCTTACGCACCATAGCTTTTCCCACAGCATCCTACAGCATAGCCATGGAGAAGGATGATCAGAGCAGTACCAGGACCAATCTGCTCCCTGGCCCAGCACTGGCAGTCAGAAAGGCCTCCTCTCCACCAGGTGTGCCCTGCCATCATCCTCAGCTACATTTGTTTCACCACAGGGGGAATAAAAGACTAAAGTAGAAAATCTTTTCAGAAGGCTAAGATAGATCTAATGCTGCCACATTTAACTATCTTCAAGGTTAAATAAAAACAGAGAAGTGCATAGTTATGTACATTGTTCTTTCATTTGTGCAAAAATATAAGGCACATTTTTATGGAAAAACTCTGAAACAATAGAAATGATAACAGTAATTGTCCCTAGGAGAAGGCTTAGGCATCTAGAGTAGGAGACAAACTTAATGTGTAAAAGAAACATTTTCTTTTCTTCCTTTTTTTCCCAATGATTGTCTTTTATTGTTATCTTTAAAATATCATATAACAGTCTTACAACTCATCCAACTTTTTTTTTTTTTTCTTATTTTTAACTGCCCTGACTTGCTCTAACAAAGTAGGTGAATTTGAAACAAGTTCAATTTTGTTGCCTTCAAGGATCAACATCTTTCTGGGCTTGAGATACTGAAAAAGAACACCTGTAGTCACATTCGAACCCTTCAGATTTATTTTTTACCCAAGACATTTTGTATTTCAAGCAAAATGTCTCCTGAGTAATGACTTGATGGGGAAAAAAGCATACACAGACTTCATCTGGTAAGGGAAGCCCAGTGGACACTCTGGATCTCCCTTGGCACATGACTACAGATAGTGGGAACTGCAGTCAGTGGGGCTTGAAATACATGCCACACACGTGTGTGTGTGTGTGTGTGTGTGCATATCCAAAACCCAGAGAGTAGAATGGAGAAGAAGGAATAGCCGCATGGCCATCACCCCTGGCAGGTACTTTCTCACTTTCCCTCTCCCTCTGTGTGTGTGTGCATGTGTGTGTGTCTATCTCTGGTGAGTACACATGCCCTATAGCAAAAATTTTTTAAAAAGTAAAAGTATCCATGTTGTAATATGTATATCTAATTCTGTGCTTCAAATCACTATATAGTCCATATGTAATGTACATTGTGGTACTGTCTATAATAACTGACTTGTACACCAGGAGATAGTCAGGAATGCTCACAGAAATAATATGTGAAATAACATGCCTTCATTAATGATAGCTATGGAGATGATGGGAACCATGTTATGACAACATGAAGTGAGAAAAGCAGACCAAATTGTCTTTATGTGAAAAGTACCACATAAAAACACACATTCCTACAACCAAGGGCTGGAAAAGATCAGAGAAAAATCAGAACAGCTACGTATTGCAGAACAAGGGAGCTGAAGGCAGCTGTTAGTACTGATTAGTGTGCCAGGAGATTTGGCTTACGCACCATAGCTTTTCCCACAGCATCCTACAGCATAGCCATGGAGAAGGATGATCAGAGCAGTACCAGGACCAATCTGCTCCCTGGCCCAGCACTGGCAGTCAGAAAGGCCTCCTCTCCACCAGGTGTGCCCTGCCATCATCCTCAGCTACATTTGTTTCACCACAGGGGGAATAAAAGACTAAAGTAGAAAATCTTTTCAGAAGGCTAAGATAGATCTAATGCTGCCACATTTAACTATCTTCAAGGTTAAATAAAAACAGAGAAGTGCATAGTTATGTACATTGTTCTTTCATTTGTGCAAAAATATAAGGCACATTTTTATGGAAAAACTCTGAAACAATAGAAATGATAACAGTAATTGTCCCTAGGAGAAGGCTTAGGCATCTAGAGTAGGAGACAAACTTAATGTGTAAAAGAAACATTTTCTTTTCTTCCTTTTTTTCCCAATGATTGTCTTTTATTGTTATCTTTAAAATATCATATAACAGTCTTACAACTCATCCAACTTTTTTTTTTTTTCTTATTTTTAACTGCCCTGACTTGCTCTAACAAAGTAGGTGAATTTGAAACAAGTTCAATTTTGTTGCCTTCAAGGATCAACATCTTTCTGGGCTTGAGATACTGAAAAAGAACACCTGTAGTCACATTCGAACCCTTCAGATTTATTTTTTACCCAAGACATTTTGTATTTCAAGCAAAATGTCTCCTGAGTAATGACTTGATGGGGAAAAAAGCATACACAGACTTCATCTGGTAAGGGAAGCCCAGTGGACACTCTGGATCTCCCTTGGCACATGACTACAGATAGTGGGAACTGCAGTCAGTCCCCTTGTTTTCCCCCACCATTTGTCAACAGACAGCCTCTTTCTTTTCTTTCCAAGAAGACTGAGCTCTACACTGATGGGACTGAAGTCCCTTCACAGGGTTCTCTAGGGCCCTTCCCATAACTCTGTGCCCCTTCAGAGTGATGACATTTTCTGGAAAGTCGACAGTCTGATTGTTGAAGAATCATCTTCATGCCCAGAGGCAAAGGCTTCAGATTCCTAGGTTCTACCCCCCCTCTTTTTTAAAACCATGCATCAAGCATTGCTTTTTCAATTAAAGTAGTATTTTTTTTAAAGTTCTCTATTGAAAATAATGTATATGGTAATATCTTTAATTTGCCTGTCACATACCACACGCATATTTTGAAAAACTATACTGTGCGCTATAGAGATGTGCAATGATTGGATTAAATTTTTGAAAATGTAGAATGGGGAAAAAGTTTAAATCACAAAATTTCATGGCTTTGGGAACCAGCAGTTAGTGTAATGGCTATGTCGCTGGACGTAGTCGACCACGGTTCACGTCCCAGACCCGGTGACTTAAAACTCACACCGGGCAACTGTGCGTTTGTGCCCCAGATCCAGAGAGGAGAATGGAGGAGAAGGGATTGCTGTGTGACCATCCCCCCTGGGGGGTGATTTCTTGCTTTCTGTCTCTCTGTCTCTGTCTGTCTGGGGAGCGCACGCGCCCTATAGCGAAAACCTCTCAAAAAAAAAAAAAAATTCATGGCTTTAACTCTTTAAACAACATGTTCAAAACGTCTTAATTTCTAACTCATGACAAAGAGCTCTCCAAAATGATAAATTCTTATTTTGAGCCCCAACTTGTGTACCTCTTTTTAAAAAGGGATGAGAACGAAACCCAATTTGAGGACCGCTGGCCAGCGTTATGGCTCACAACGCTCACAATGTTCTGACATTAATTCCAACTCATTATGCAACTGATGATCCAGCTTCTCAAGGAATTAGGGACGGAGTTTCAGCCTTTCACCAGGATTCCGATGAGACAGCGATGGCCCTCGGCATGGCCTTGCTCCAGGCGAGTCTCGGCAGTACCAGGAGTGGGGCGGGTGTCGCCCGTTCTCCGGGCCCACATTTCTGGGAACACTGTAGTGCCACCCACCACCTCGTTCAAGGTCCCTGGGCGCTGAGACCTGGCCCGCCACCGCTGCTTCCCAGGGTGGCCGCCCCGCGTGCCGCGTCACTCGGTGCCCTGGGCGCGCGGTGAGCACCTACCACTGGCGGAGACGTGCAGGGGAGAGGCCGCGGCCGCTTTCCCCCGCCCAAGGGCCATGCGCGGACTCCAGCGCCTCTGCACGGCGCTAAATTTAAAAAAGTTACGCCAGCCACAAGCTGGGCCAGGAAACGAAACGACATTCGTCCCGCCGGCCGACTCCCGATTCTACCAGTCCCCTCGCGCACTGCGACACCGGAATAGACCGTCCTTCCGCCATCTTCGGCGGGGCTCGGAGGCTGGAGCCGGACCAGGCGGCGGGCATGGCTGCGGGCGCCGACAGCGGAGAAGGGGCTACTCCGTCAGCGGAGAAGGGGCTAGCGCTCGGCAGCACGTGTTCCTGCTTCCAGGTAAAGGCGCCCACGCGGCCTCCTGCCCGGCGCGGCCCGGCCCGAGAGCGCACGCAGAGGCCGGCTCGGCCCCAGGCCCGGGGGGCCGCCCCGGGCGCGGGTCTCTCCCC